CAGGAGCCAAGGAGGTCAAGGGGCCGTCGGGTCTTCGCTGGCTCTGGCTGCTTGACCTCCGCCTGGTCGAGTACAAGGTCAACTAGCAGCGAGGTCAACTAGCTGAGGATTTCAAGGCCAACAGCACGTCGCCGGTCGCTGGGGACGAAGGGGGGAAGTGCGGCAGAGAAAAAGGCCATTAAAAGAACGGAAAGGGTTAGACCAGCGACATTATTGGGTCATGAGGACAGTACAAGGTCAATATAAATAGTATTAGATTTACCAGCAACAGTATATAAGTTTAACCCACTATTAGAGTTAGGCCATAGAGAACCAGTATTTAACAATTTAGTGTGTTCAAGAAAGCATAACAGTGTATTATCAAGACGAAATGAAGAGGCTTTTCCGTGGATAATGGAACATACATTTTCGGGTAGACATTGTTATTATTTTCATCTCAGGATGTAATGCTCTGATGTTTAAAAGCTTTTCAAGCATGAATATATCAAAGGCGCAGCTAGTCAGTGGTTTTTGAAAATGTGAGGAGAATGTTCCTATTTCTGGCACCGAGCGAAGTTTATTTGTATATATATGTATATCATTTGTCTACTTTCTCGCCCCGTGTGTATATTTTAGCAGTTGCCTGCCGAATACTTGACTCCATATACCTAATTAGGAGAGACCTAACTGTTGTCATGCCGTCAGTAAACTATGATTATCACACACTCCATTCACGAGCGATATTTTCTTGTATATATCATTCGGTTCTTTTAAGTGAAGCACTCAATAGGAAACCGAAAAAAACTTGCATGGCGTATGCATAGTTTTATGTATTCTATCCATTTGATTCCATTTAATCATCTCCAGAATAGCCAATGATTGCTAGGGCCGTTTTATGATTTTATTTACCCATCCCTCTATCAATATATTTTAGTTTTCACAAATGCACAATGAAAGAGACATATAAGTTATACAATCATCATTACTTATTGCACGAGAAAAAAATACCTTTACAATCACCATAGCTTATTCTTCACACAATATATTTCTTTCGCCAAAGACATCATGAGTCACGTGATAATAATGACGATGGTGATAGATATAGATATAACAGTAATATTATAATAATAACAATACCCGCTACTATTTTCTCTTCCTCTCTGCATAATCAATCAAATTACAGAAAAAAATAATTTCAGCATCCCTTTTTTTTTCTTTTTTTCTTTTTTTATTAAACGAAAGAGATTTTCCGACCTTGCTACCCACGTGACCATACAGCCTTCCAGTCTATGCGCGTGTGAAGACTCGATACTAAGTGCTTCATGTAGTTTTTAAGTGGTCGTATTTTTAAGAGGCAGCGTCGACGTTCCCGAGTGGCATCCGCGTCGAGTGTAAGGTGTGGTCTGTGGGGTCGAGTACGTGTCAGTACGAAGACAAGTCGAATGGGGGGGGGGGGAGTTTGTGTCTGGTGTCGATTTTGGGTCGAAGTGGAATCCAATGGTAGATTTTCTGCTTTTGGAGAGAAGTAGATAGATGCCTGAGATAATTCCTGGGGCTGATATTTTTGTTTTAAATCATTGTAGTGTTTGTCTTGAAAGGGATCAAGGTGTTGCGTATTTAATGAAAGGAATAGACAAGGGGGAAAACGTAAGTAAGTTTGATGCTTCCAAAGACAATTTCAGGAGGTATATTTTGACAAGGTATTTTAACGAGAATTAGGAGGAGGCGAAGAGAAAGAAGAGGAGGAGGAGGAGGAGGAGAGTAAGCAAAAGAAAAAGAGGAAGAGGAAAGTTCTTGATAATAAGAAAAAGGGAAGGGAGGGTTGCCCTAGAGGAAGCGAGAGAGTTGTTTTTAAGCTTGGCAAGATGGAGGATCCCCACCGCGTCGCACCTTACACTCCCGCGGCAGCGAGGGCGACAGGCGAGGGAGGCGGAGTGAGGGAAATAAACTCCGGGCCGTCTAGCGGTGAGATTCTTCTGTTGTTGTAAGTAGTTATTTTTAGTTATACCAGTAGTCGAAAGATGGCGTCATTAAAGCCGCTTGACGATGCTTCCTGTTCAAGAATGTTTAAACACTGTGTTGACCAGTGAACGTCGTCACTGCTTTGAGGGCGCTGTCTCCTGGCGAGCGCTGAAGCTAAAACCAACTGCCTTCTCCCGAAAGCTGAATCGCGAGGAGCTACGTTCCCTCACTGCGCCGCCCTCGCCGCCGTGCGCCCCGCGAGCAGCCCTTCGAGCGCGCGACGGCCGTGCCGTAACTCGCGGCGCAGACGAGCCAGTCCCCCGCCGAGTGCGCAGCCGGAACATCACCCGCCATCAGTCATCATCAGGTCTAGAGACAGCCTTATCTATCACGGCCGCACGAGGGAGGGACTCGCTCGCCGCCTCGCACCTTAGGTTAGTTGATCAAGAAACCCCGGGACGAGGCCGCGCGGTGTGGCGGGAGCGGCGGCGTCGGGGGTAGGCTGAGACTGCCGTAAAGGGACCCGTCTCCTGCATCAAATGTACGCGGGTGCTTTTAGGAGGGCAGCGGCAGCCGATCCTTGGGGCACGCCGATCGCCGCCACACGCCCCCGTCCCCAGCGGGGTTAAATCAAGTAAATCCAGTGTTTTCCATAGGTTTAATGCTGTCCTAGGTGACTGTAAATCATCCCAGGACGATATTATGCGTCGAGGGCAAGAGACGGGGAACCACACATACACAGGGACGAGTTTTAGGGGCCGCGAGCATGTGAAATTCTCTCTTTTTTGCGATCTTGTGGTTGGCCGTTCTCTGCCCTCGACGTGCGCCACGATGATGACTCTGTAAAGACGAGTGTGCTGTCGTGTCTGTGTGAAGTGTTAGTGTATAATGTGGTTACAACACTTAATCATCCAAAACTGGTGTATTTTCTCTGTATTCTCTCGACCATTCTTTCTCCTGCGGTTATCACCACATATCTCTGTTTATGGGTTTTGTTCTTTTTTCACTCTCTCACTCTTTCACATTTTCTTTGTGATATCTCTCTCCCTCTCACTCACTCACTCTCTCTCTCTCTCTCTCTCTCTCTCTCTCTCTCTCTCTCTCTCTCTCTCTCTCTCTCTCTCTCTCTCTCTCTCTCTCTCTCTCCCTCCCTCTCTTTCATTCTCCCTTTCTCTCTCTCTCTCTCTCTCTCTCTCTCTCTCTCTCTCTCTCTCTCTCTCTCTCTCTCTCTCTCTCTCTCTCTCTCTCTTCTCTCTCTCTCTCTCTCTCTCTCTCTCTCTCTCTCTCTCTCTCTCTCCCTCCTCTCTCTCTCTCTCTCTCTCTCTCTCTCTCTCTCTCTCTCCCGGCTTTATGCACTGTCGCATCTCACCCCGTAACAAGCATCTGAAGTTCATCACTATACAGTTCTCACGTTGTTCACCGTTGTATGTGTTGAAGTCTATCCTTCCCCATAGTGAATGTAGCGAGCGGTCGTGGCGAGAACGTCCTTGTTTGTGTCCATGTGTGTCTCTAGACGTGATAGAAAATGTAGTAATAAAGGGGCTAGGGGGAGGGAGGGAGGGAGGGAGGGAGGGAGGGGGGAAAGGGGCAAACCAGGGTCGAAGAGGGGGGGTGGGGAGTATGGAAGGGCAATAAGGGAAGGTAGGAGGAAGAGAGGGTAGGTGTGGGAGGGAAGGAGGGAGGGAGGGAGAGGGGGAGGGCGGGAGGGAGGAAGGAGAAGGGGAAGGGAGAAAGGGAGGGAGGGGGAAAGGACTGGGAAGGAAGGGGAGGAAGGTATAGCACTCTTTTCATTCACTATCTGTGTTTCATCACGTTAACTGTTCATTCCCCTTTTTTCGAATAAGAAGAGCATCGTTTATATACTAGTTCATCAAAGGTCAAGCATTGTGGTTACTTGTATATACAACTGTCTCTTAAACGTATTAGTAGAGTCGCCCTTCTTTCTGTCGCTACCTGCCTGCCACGTACCTTCTGTGAACCGCGGGTACGTGCAGCCTACGCGAGTCGCCGCACGTGCACGCTCGTGTACGGACATCACAGTACACACCTCCTTTTCCCAGGCTCTTGCTGCTGCTGTTGGCGCCGCACACACAGAGCGCTCCTGGTCTTCCATCATCGGCCATATTCATTGTCTTCTTGTTATCCTGCGACCGTGTGTGGGCAGCAGCAGCCAGTGCTCTCTGGGCTCCTTTGCGGGAATAAGATGATGCCTTAGATTGCCGACGAGTATGTTGCAAATTGCAAAATGCGGAAGGTTTATTTTCTCGGTATACTGCAATTGGCGAATTGGTTTTCTCTTGGTATAATGCACTTTGCAAAATGCGTTGTATTTTTCTTCCGGTATGATGTATATTGCAATATGTGTAATATCATTATTTCAGCATAATGCTAATTGCAAAATATGTGATATTTTCTCTCGGTATAAAGCATACAGAAAAAAAAACGGTTAATGCATTTCTCCCATTGACTAAAGCAAGCAAACAAAAAACAAAAAAGTATCATGAACATCTAGTCAGCACATTGTATATGTCAATAACAACGAATATATTACCAAAGTTAATTACACTAATAACCACGCCAATCATATCGAAAACATCCTTTGCTCCGAAAGATAAAATACTCCCACGATCTCCAATTACAACTTTGACCGCCGAAAATAAAAACAAAAACTAATCACCATGGCCTAAACATACATAAATAAAAGAAAATCCACACGTACTGATCCATACAAAAGGCCTTATCCCTGTTTCCCAAGGAGTAAGGAGGATAACTAGCAGGTTTTCATAGATTCATTCATTCATTAGCTGGCATATGTATATAGGCTTACATCTCGTTTTGTATGGATATTTTTTGTACAGTAAGCTATCCAGTGAATGTCGTACCGTTGTTGTAACTGATATCCTTATCCAACAAGGAAAAACCTTGATTCAGTTTGTCTTTTTTTCTTCTTTTCTTTATCTGTCTATCTCTATGATTATCTGTCTATTTATTGTAGGAGTAAAATC